GTTGATAACTTTTTGGCAAAATTATTACAGGACACGCAAAAAACGTGTAATTGGCTGAGGGACACCGTGAAAAGTAACACTGTCCATAGACACTACAAAAGTTGTTTAATTAGCTATAGGACACCGGACACATTATTTTATCATTTTCGGGTTGAAAGAGGGGAGAGAAATTTCTAAATGATGGGAATGCCCCCCTCTACTCCTTCCTTTCTTCTCACTGCAGCCGACATGTGGGCCCGCGCAGTGTCGTCGTCCTCCTCACGCCAACGCTCAACGCCAGCTGCCCCTTCTTCCTCTGCCCGCCGCCTCAGAGCCGCAATCTGTCCTTCTCCCTCGTCTCCGCCATGTCCACCAGCAAGCACAGCAGGTCGCGCCGCCGCTGAGCCCGGTCATCAGCGAGGGCAGAGATGTCGAGGACGCCGACCCCAACCTGCCCGGCTTCTTCAAGAACCCCTCCCACCTCTCCGACGACGAGATAGGGGAAGACAGGTCGCCTCTTGCCGCCGAGCCTGATGGATTTCTTGGAGATGATGAGGGGGACAATGCGCCGTCAGAATCTGATATTGCCACCGAATTGGACGATCTGGACAGCGCTTGATGTCCCCGCTGTGGAATCTAGCGGGGTGAGCGCGGGTGTGGGCGAGGGCGTAGTGGAGGAGGGGAGGTGCGGGCGGGGCGAGGAGGGAGGAAATGAGGTGGAGGGAGGTGATCTGGATGTCGGCGCGGTGGCAGGCGAAGGCAACGGCGGCTCGCAGAGGAGGGGAGGTGTGGGCGGGGTGAGGAGGGAGGATATGAGGTGGAGGAGGTGGTCTGAGCGTTGGTGCAGCGGCGAACGGAGGCAACAGCGGCATCGAGGGCGGGGACGCGACCGGCATTGAGCGTTGGCGAGAGGAGGATGACGACACTGTGTGCGGGTCCACATGTCGGCTGCAGTGTGAAGAAAGGAAGGAGGAGTAGAGGGGGCATTCCCGTCATTTAGAAATTTCTCTCCACTCTTTCATCCCGAAAATGATAAAATAATGCGTCCGATGTCCTATAGCCAATTACACAACTTTTGTACTGTCCATGGGCAGTGTCTCGTTTTTACGGTGTCCCCCAGCCAATTACACGTTTTTTTGCGTGTCCTGTAGAAAATTTTGCCTAATTTTTTACATGGATTTCGAAAGATGATTAACGACTAAACAAGTCTACCAAATTACTCCCTCCATCCCTAAATATTTGACGCTGTTGACTTTTTTAAATATGTTTGACCGTTCGTCTTATTCAAAAAATTTAAGTAATTATTAAATTTTTTCCTATCATTTGATTTATTGTTAAATATACTTTTATGTATACATATAGTTTTACATATTTCAAGTTTTTAATAAGATGAACGGTCAAACATATTTAAAAAAGTCAACGGCGTCAAATATTTAGGAATAGAGGGAGTATTAGTAAAAAGCAAGTCAGTGTTCAATGCCTCAACTCAGCAACATCTAGTTTGAACGAAAAGATAAACATTGATTGCAGTTGATGAATATGCAGCAGTGGAGCTAGTTCCCGGGCTAGTTGGGCAGCCGCCCGGGCTCCGCCGTTGATGTTGCCACTTTGGATTTCCAATTTCCCATTGACGTTTGTAAAAATTGGTTGATTATCAGAAATGCTAGTAGTCATCCCGGCTCGACAACTCATGCTTGAGAGGCGATTGGGATGGACTGCATGCTATTTTATCCACCGTTTTTCAGTTTTTCTGACGAACGGATCAGATAAATTACATAGCCAAAATACTGCTCTTACAGTAACCTAAGTGCTGTCTACTGCACTGGAGATAATGTGAGCGATCTTACAGCCGATGGAGTTGGCCCTTGCGATGAACACCTTTGCAGTAGTTGCACAAAAAATCTGACAATGAATAGGAAAGGGAAAAACAGGGGAAACATAGCATATAGCAAGGAGGCGCTGAACTCAAAATTGGACAAATTGAACATGGTTATGTAGCCAAAACGGCACACCGCACACTTGCTTTTTCTTTTACCTCTTATTTAGAGTAGCAAACAGAAGTTGCACACGAAATGCTAAAAACACGCTGAGCAGATGGAGATAAGTTCTGAAATCAAAGAGAAAGTGAAATTCCTAAAAATGAAATGTGTTGGAGTTTATTCAACAATGACCAACACTCCAGCAATGTGGCTGTTTGGCGAGTGGGTTTAATTGATCTCTGGTCAGCAATTCAGCATCTTTCTTAATTTAGTGAAGCTGGTTGTCATTGTCTCTTCCACAATCCTCATGGATCAAGATAAAGAACAGCAGCTCAGCCTGAACCAGGAGGATGATACAATACGATGGAAGCTTACTCCAGATGGATTTTTCTCCGTGTCATCTGCTTATGACCTCTTCTTCATGGCAAGGGAGGTTTCTCTCTCGGGTCAACTTGTTTGGCAAACCAAAGCTCCTTCCAAAGTCAGATTCTTTCTCTGGCTTGCAACGAAGAGTAGATGCCTCACAGCAGACAACTTGGCAAAGAGGGGCTGGCCGCATCAAGATCAATGCGTCCTCTGTCAACGACAGCAGGAAGATTGTTTGCACCTCTTTGTCAGCTGCGACTACACAAAACGAGTATGGCGTCTGCTGCGGGATTGGATCAACGTGGATTTCCCTTTGCCGGGGCAGGACGGGGAGACGCTAGCAGACTGGTGGCTGATAGCGCGATTGCGTTTTCGGACCGGCTACAGGGATAATTTCGACAGTGTTGTGTTGTTGCCCTGTCTTGTTGGCTGCTGTGGAAGGAGCGCAATGCTAGGATTTTTCAGCACAGATTGCAGACGGCGGAGCAGCTTCTAGAGAGCATCAAGGAGGAAATATTCGTGTGGAAGTCCGGAGGTTATTTCCAAGTCTGTAATAGAAACACACCTTCGTGATGTAGCCTTCGGGCTTTGTTTTCTTTTTCCGCTTTGATGGGGAAGAGGCTCAGCCTCAACCCCATCTCGACAGCCTACTGTCGATGCAAAGCTATATTTGTATTTTAAACTCCCCTTTCTTAATGAAATTTGGTCACCGATTTCTTTCGGCCGACCCAGCAAAAAAAATAATTGTTCATTCCATCACATCAAGCATCAGATTTCAATATAATGGCCGGCACTAACTTGTAGGGCCCTAATGTCACCTGAAAGTTAAGCGGTCTAGCCTTTCGATTTCCAGGGGAAATGACAATTGTTCAAGACAAATTTTAAAGAGCATGAATACATTGTGACTTCATCGCACTAGACAATATCATATGAAATTGTTGCTCTCAGACAACAGTTTGCTTTTGTTCCTGTTCCAAATAGGCCCTACATACATGATCAATAGTGTCTTCCTTTTCTTTTACAAAAGGAACAGATGGAGTTAGTTTCCCCGAAGTTTCATAAAATTGTAGTATTCCCGTCAATTATAATACTGAATTTTTCAAAAAACCAGGGACATAACACCGTTGATAGATGGTTTTCCACCCATGAACATGACATGGTGGATATTGTAGTTTGAAATGATGCAAGCTGCTATGGAGACAGCCCTGTGCCTCAGCATAGGTGTTAGGTCAAATGTCATATCTGAAATTGAACCATACTTTGGACAGTTAGAAAAGAGGTTTTGAAAGACAAGATAATAGAATGGTGCAATCACAAAATTCACATGTTAAACTGCCTTCAAATCTAGACAACTGAATTGGATATTCCCTTTTTCAGTATTTTGAATTCGGTGAATAGAAGGGCCGATTCTTTTGTTCAGAGGTTAGTGAAACTAAAATTGATTCTTTTGTTCGGTCCGGTCCTTTTGGTCCAAAGAAAGTTCGGTCTTCTCAAACAGGAGACCAAAACTGTAAATGATCGAAGCATCAATGTATATTTTGAACTAATCAGAGAAAACTGTAAACTTCAAAATTGACTACGTCAATTTTAAATAATCATTGTTTTGCAAAACCATGCGAACAAACAATGATTATTTAAAATTTGTTCGCATGGTTTGTTGTTGAATATGTCTCAATTTCTGATTGAGCTGATTGTGCCAGGTGAACAGTAAATTCTACACAACTTATATCTTTATGACTAAATTTTTTACAGTGTCAGTTTTCATGTACGAGATTTCAGCATCACTCTCCAAGTAAAATGTTCTTGCATGCTATAGTCTTTGTCGCAAATATTGATTCCTAATAGAGAAAGTACTTCTCAAAGTAAAATGCTATCAACTTATTTCAAAACATCATTTGCAAGGACGTCAATTCTACTTAATTAGCCATATTAAAGATTTGAAATATTTATGGATTGATAAGTTTAAAAAACGACCTCTGCGCATCATGATAATATAAGCCTCATACAGTAAGTTTATTTTGAACTGTTAACTTCAAATAGTTTACACTTTGAAAAATACAAACATTTCTGTTTTATGTATTTGTTGTTGAATTAACCTAAAGGAGAGATATTAAGGCTGCATTTCACTGCCTCTATATGTTTCCTTTGCATAAGAATGAAGGAGAGATATTAAGGCTCCATTTCACAGCCAGTAAAAGTGGTGGTAGCGTGCGTTGGAGTTCATGTTCGTGTCATAGCTCCATTTCACATGTACGTTGCATCACTAGTTTCCAGAAATAACAGGCCCTTTCAAATATATTGCCGCTCCAACAAGAGGGAGTCGCCTAGTTTATATATCTCCATTGACAATCATTGAATGAATCAACAATAAACTAAAGTTACAAAACATGTGAAACTAAAAACCACCACCACAAAAATCGTTTCATAAGTAAGGGATATTGTTGTGGTGTGCCGGCCGGCTCACCTTTTGGTCCCTTCTTGGTAATTTTTTATGTCTTCTTGATGCAATGAATTGCAGTCATCCTGCGTTTCCAAGGAAGCCCACAATTACCACTACTTGCTATCACCGGTACAACTCTATTCTACTGGTGCCGATTTCTACACCTTATATGCTGACTTACTCTTGCTTACAAGTGCTATCACCATACTACAACCTCTCAACCTCCTTCCTCTATCATGGCGATCAAGTGGCAGCTTTGGATGCTCTCTCTTATCAAACATGCCCTGCTCTTGCTCACAGCCACCTCTCAGACCATCAATGGAGATGACCTCTCAGCACTCCTGTCATTCAAATCCCTCATAAGGAACGATCCAAGACAGGTGCTGTCCTCTTGGGACTCCATTGGCAATGATACCAACATGCCAGCACATGTCTTCTGTCGATGGACCGGTGTTTCCTGCAACAATTGCCGGCATCCAGGTCGTGTAACCACTCTCCGTCTGAGTGGTGCTGGCCTAGTCGGCACCATCTCCCCTCAGCTCGGCAACCTGACCCTCCTTCGTGTCCTTGATCTGTCAGCCAACAGCCTCGATGGTGATATCCCAGCCAGCCTAGGTAGTTGTCGAAAGCTTCATACATTGAACTTGAGCAGGAACCACCTGTTAGGTTCAATGCCCGCTGATCTTGGTCAATCATCAAAGCTTGCCATTTTCGATGCTGGCTACAACAATCTTACTGGTAATGTTCCCAAGTCTTTATCCAACCTCACAACACTCATGAAGTTTATCATAAAGAGGAACATCATCCATGGCAAAAATTTGAGTTGGATGGGTAACCTGACATCATTGACACACTTCGTTCTTGACGGGAACCGTTTCACCGGTAACATCTCTGAATCTTTTGGTAAAATGGCTAATCTTATTTACTTCAATGTCAGAGATAATCAGTTGGAAGGCCATGTTCCTCTACCGATCTTCAATATTTCTTGCATTAGATTCTTGGATCTTGGTTTCAACAGACTGTCAGGATCAATTCCACTCGATATTGGTTTTAAGCTTCCCAGGATAAATTATTTTAGCACAATTGCTAACCATTTTGAGGGCATAATACCACCGACCTTCTCAAACACATCTGCTATTGAATCCTTGCTTCTTCGTGGAAACAAATATCATGACACGATTCCTAGGGAAATTGGCATCCATGGTAACCTGAAGTTCTTTGCATTAGGAGACAATATGCTCCAAGCCACACGGCCTAGTGATTGGGAATTTTTTACATCATTGGCCAATTGTAGCAGCTTGCAAATGCTAGATGTTGGCCAGAACAACCTTGCTGGTGCAATGCCAATTAGCATTGCAAACCTGAGCAAAGAGCTCAATTGGATTGACCTAGGCGGCAACCAAATAATTGGGACCATACATACCGATTTGTGGAAGCTTAAACTAATATTTCTCAACCTGTCATATAATCTCTTAACGGGAACCTTGCCTCCAGATATTGGCCGGCTTCCAAGTATCAATTATATCTATATATCACATAATAGAATCACTGGGCAGATTCCAGAATCATTAGGTAATATCTCACAGTTGAGCTCTCTCGATTTGTCTAATAATTTACTATACGGCAGCGTTCCAGTTAGCCTTGGAAACCTTACAGAACTTCAAAAGTTGGATCTTTCTGTTAATGCCTTGACGGGCCAAATCCCATAAGAGATACATATACCTTCCGTTATCAGACGTCTCAACCTCTCCAACAATTCTCTAAGTTGTTCCATTAATTCCATGACAGTTTGGGAAGAGGAAATCCTCTCTAAGGACAAATCCCAGAAAACCTGAACAATTTGAGGAGCCTTGAAATCCTTGATTTTTATAACAACTTGGCAGGTCCCGTAGCTGAATTTCTAGCGAATTTCACGCTTCTAATGAATCTAAACCTCTCCTTCAATATACTATGTAAGTAATCTGGGTAAGCAATGATATGTAACTTGATTTGGTTGCCTGCTTGAGAAGTTGTTACTTACAGCAGGCTGCTTTTTTTTTTCCTTGATGTCCAGTATATTGCAGTACAGTTTATTTCCTTTTTCATCTAGTAATTTTTATCCCTTCCATTTTTTCTATTTTGGAGGTGCTATCCAAGGTTTAAAAGAGTAAACTTGATGAATTTGCGCCAATATTTAACCTAGCCCCCTGGACTTGCAATTTGGTTTCTCCGACCCCTGAACCTGCTCCCATTTGCACCTTTGCACTATTCAATTGTTCATTAGAGTAACAATATGACGTTAAAAGAACAGCAGAAATCGTACCGTTTAATTCATTTCTAAAATAAATGTTACTTGGAGCCTGGTTGGAAGATTAGTAATACAAGTTATCATTTGAACAAAATTAATCATAAAGGATATGTGCTTATATGCAGACCTAATTTTTTAATCTTCTTTTAACGCTCAACATTAGGAAGCATGCCAATTGGTATGATACTTTTCACTAGGGAAAAGTCCAAATTACACCCTGCACTATTGGGTGAGTACGAATTACCCCCTAAACCCTAAAATCTGACATCTTTCACCCTCAACTATCAATACCTGATGAAACCCCCCCTTCCCCAGCAGCTTTGCAAGCGGTTCTGGTCCTACGTGACAGTCCAGTCCATAATTCTTTTATTAAAATGATGGGGCCCACCTATTAGATCTCTCTCCTCTCTATCTCTTTCGTCTCTCACCCCCTCTCTCGCACGCGTTAGATGCCGAGGAGGAGCCCCGTGCACCGGCGGAAGCCGAGGACAAACTGTGCGCCGGTGGCTGCGAGCATCCTTGAGCGCGGGAGGCGACGGTGACGTCACACGTGCACACCATTGTAGACAACCTTGGGTGCGGCAGGTCTCAGCGGCGATGACGATGATGACAGCAACAAGCTCACGAGGCGGCCGTGGAGGAGGCGCACGTCGGCAGAGGCTGCGAAGGAGCTGCCTCCGCCACTCGCCGCCCCCACAATGCAGCGCCGCCACCGTTGCTCATCGTCCGAACCGATTGACTGAAGGGGTGGGAAACGAGAGAGCGCCGCCTACACCGCTCACCATCCGAACCGATTGATAGAAGGGGAGGGAGAAGAAAGAGAGTGCCGTCTCCGCCGCTCGCCATCCTCGGCTGTCCCGAGCTCTGCTTGCCACCTCGAGCTCCGCCTATCCCCTCCGTTGCCATGAGACCCACCCGCCCATTCCGCCATCCTGCGAGCTTTGCCCGTCGCCATTCTTGACTCTCCCTCCGACGCTGCCTCTCGGTGATAGAGAGAGATGGAGGTGTTGTCGCTCGCCATCCTCGGCTCCCCCTCCGCTGTCGAATCCTTGACTTCCCCTTCGCTGCTGCCTTGGTGACAGAGAGAGATGGAGGTGAGGGAGGGAGAAGAGAGAGAGTGAGGATTTTGGAAAGAGACAGAGTCAGAGAGATATGGAGGGTCCTGCTGTTTTTTTTTAAAAAAAAATTGCTGACTAGACTGTCACGTAGGACCAAAACCACTTTAAATTGAGTTAGGGGGGTAATTCGTCTGATATTAATAGTTAAGGGTGAAAGATGTCTGGTTTTCGGGTCTAGAGGATAATTTGTATTTTTCTCTTTCATAATGCCAGGATTACCACAAATTAACAAATGATTGAATATATACACATCCAATTGTGATGAGTTAAGAGTGTATGGAAAAGAACAAAAAAAATTCTATTAAATTGCATGGCAACATCATACGTATAACTAGTTGATACCTCGCGCATTGCTACGGTATATGCAGTAGAAAAAAAAAGATGCAGTGCTGATTGCTGAATGTATAGAACAACTGTGATGAATAGTTTCATAAAACTAATTGAATCCTACATATTACTCTTTAGATAAATTAAACCTACTCAGGATCACAAAGTGCTATAATATGTTGACATATTACTGAAAAGGCAAATAAATGAAAAGGAACGATTAAAAACAGAAGAAGACACATAAACACATCACGAATTTTCGTGAATCCGAAAACGTCTGCAAGCCACAGTTTATACCTAGAGTTGTACCATTCCAGCTATGCTTGTAGCTTCCCGGTTCAAGTTTGCTGTATTCTTTCTCCTTGAGTTCTTCCATGCTTCCAGCTACGCTTGTAGCTCATTGGCAATTCATCAAGTGAAAATAAATAGTATTTTGAGCATGTTCATCCAAGAGACAGTAGCAGGTCTAGTTTACTGCTGTGACATAACTTACACAGCTTGGTTGCATTGTTTTATGTGAACGATCAGTCAGAGAGGTCTTTCTGTATATGCACAAACTGAAGTTGTGAAGCTTAGGATTTCACTGCCCACAAAATCTGTCAACTCCAAACTGGTCAGGAGGGTAAAATTGAGACAGACAGACAATCAACCGAATAGCACGTTAGCCAACCGAAAAATGGATTCCGAAGATTGTCACCTAAGGTGTGACACTGAAACAATGATTCTGAAAACACAATACAAAGAGAATAATTTAATTACCAACTAATTGTATTCTCTGAAATTTCTGAGCTGTCCTTTAAGGTCAGATGGGTTCCAGTTGAAGGTGAATCAGATGGCAGCATCCACAGCCTTTTACGCTGTCAAACAAATAAAGAAAATAGAACTTAAGAATATCGACTTCAACCACAAAATAGATACAGACACTTGCAAAATTTTGGAATAAACTATGTACACAATGGAGGACAATCCATATGAACATAATCAAAAGGAACCAACAGATTAAAAAATTTCTTACCTCGGCTTTGCTCTTAATTTGCACTTGTGCACATAAAACCACCATTAAGGAATCAGGCACAGTCAACCACCTAAAATAATCAATAGATACGATGAGAGAGCAAGTGTGATCACCATTAGGATTAGGTAAATTTTGCTACAGGACACTTGTTATTTGTGGTTTTAGCTCTAGGACACTACCCAAACTCACTTTTGGGGGAAAACACTCCATAAACGTGGTAATTTGCCAGTGGACACCGCGCCAATTAAAATAATACTTTCCGGTTGGGGAGGAGAGAGAAATCGCGTGAAATGTCAAAAATGTCCTTGGGCCCACATGTCAGTTCTATCTCCTATCCCTCTCCTCATCTATCTCTCTTTTCTCTCTCAGAGCGCGCTCGCATGGGGTAGCATCAGTCACGGCGGAGATGGTGAGAACGGCGGCCAGCGGAGTGGAGTGGGGCGGCGGCGGCGGTGGACGAGCACGCGGCCGGCGGAGCGGCAGCGGCGGCGAGCGAGTGCGTGGCAGGAGGCAGCGAGCGAGCGCGCGATAGGAGCCGCGGCGGCGGGCGGCTGGCGAGAGTGGCGTGCACCCCATGGTGACGGCGATGGCGACACAAGCTCCCACGTCGGCTGATCTCTCCGGCAACGGCGGTGGCGGCAGCGGGCTAGCGGCTGGCTCGCCGAGGAGGTAGCGGCGGCGGCGGCCTGAGAGTGAGAAGACGAGGTGGGCGGGCGTTTCCAACGCTTCTTCTCGTAGGCGATGCCGCGCGCCTTGGCCTGGCAGTCGTAGACCTCGTGGAGGTAGAGGCGGACGGCGCGGGCGCCGAACGGGTTGGCCTCGGGTTGGCCGCCATGCTCCTCAAAGGCGGCGCGGAAGCGGCCGACGAGCGCGTTGAGGCTGCCCCACGCCTGGCGGAGAAGGCACGGGCACGGCACCGGTAGCGAGGGGTGGCTCCGCCGGCCGCGCGCTCGTCCACCGCCGCCGCCGCCCCGCTCCACTCCGCCAGCCACCGTCCTCGCCATCTGAGAGAGAAAAGAGAGAGATGAGGAGAGAGATAGGAGATAGATCTGACATGTGGACCCAAGGGCATTTTTGGCATTTCACGCAATTTCTCACTCCTCCCCAACCAGAAAGTATTATTTTAATCGGCGCGGTGTCCACGGGCAAATTACCACGTTTATGGTGTGTTTTCCCCCAAAAGTGAGTTTGGGCAGTATCCTAGGGCTAAAACCACACATAACAAGTGTCCTGTAGCAAAATTTGCCTTAGGATTAAATTGAGCACCAATTAAAAAATTGATATAAAAAGAACATGGACAAACAGTGTAGCAAAGTCTGAATTGCAGGTAGTACAAATAAGAGAGTAGTATTGTAATAGTAATCTTGGAAGAACATTAGTTGGGTAAAAGATAGCAATCTTGGAAGAACAATGTTGTGATAAATAGGGAAAACGCTCCTATCTGGACGCCCGATGGTAAGAAAAAAATCGGACACCCGCACGCCTCTTCTCAAACCATGTGATGAATGTTTTTTATCCTGCCCGTTGCAACTTGCAACCCCTCCCCTCTCACTCTAACTTCTGCATGCATGCAGCATGCACTGCTCTGACATGAAGTAGTCCACCCTCTCCTTTTTTTATTCCCTTTCATATGCTTGCTGGTACTTCTTAATGTATAACTTCAAATAATCTTATTTCATAAAGTATTTATCTAATCCGTAATTGGAGTATACCATTGTATTCACCGCAATTAAATCTTCACAACAAGATCTTACTTGACTATATATTTTTTTATTTTTTTAATGGATTTTTTAATTGTTGCAATGGGTATTTAATGATGTTTTCGCTAGGTCATTTTGAAATGTTGCATATGGTGTTTTTTAATGTTTCAGGAGGTATTTTGTGATTTCTTCGGCTGATGTTTCACGGTATCATTTTTTTAATGTTACACGTGGTGTTCTTTGAATGTTTCATGAGGTATTT